CAATTCTATAGTATTGTATTATATCTTTTAATGAATATTTCAGCAATTGATTCTCCCGGAAAAATCCATTCTAAGCTATAGACCTTATCGATGATAATCACATTCTTTATTGAAAACAGGATCGATATTACAATTCTATAGTATTGTATTGTATCTTTATTATTCCAACAAGGTCATCTGCAGTCACAGACAGGTATTGCTCAATAGGAACGATCTATGAAAAATACTCGTATCTGTACACAAACCTTGCTTTGTTTACAAACATTTAACCCTATTACTGCCCAATATTTTTCAGAGTGTTTTTTCTGAATTTATTTAGGATTTTTTGCACTGCTGCTGCTGCTGCCTCTATAGAAAGTTTCAGTTGCTTATTTTGTATGCCAGCTTCCGGCTGCTTATGCACATGACTTTAATCCGGTCGCTGATGCGCCCGCCTTAGGGTCACCCTACACTGCACTAGACACCAACTGTGTGTGTGTGTGTGTGTGTTTGTGCCGTGTAGGCTCTTGCATCGTCTGTCACTGTCATATTTGTTGCTTCCTTTTGGCTCTGCAGCTCATTCTGCGCCACTTCTTCAATGGCGCTTCCTTCACACACACACACACACACACACATGCATGCATACACATCTGGCCAGATTTAAAGCATTATATTTATTTACTATGCTAGGCGCTGCGTTGTTGCTGATGCTGCTTCTTTATTTTCTTTTTCCTCTTCATATCCTTTAGCATTTTTTTCTACTTCCTGCTTAATTTTGCGCCTGTCGTCCGCCCTGTCTACATGCTTATAAGTCGTTTCCTTCCCGTTGCTGTTGTTGTTGCCGTTGCTTTCGTTGTTGCTTATGCGCTTGTCGGCATCGCCAGCCTCGTCCTCGCCCTCATGCTCGTCCTCGTCCTTGCGTCGTCATTTGATAAATTTCACATGTTTTCTGGGATTTATGTATCTGATGTTTCCTCCTCCTTCTTCTTGTGTTCCTGCTTTTTTTTCCCACACATTGTTGGCAGCAGATTTCAACAAATCTTTTTTGCTGCAGCTTTTTAACATTTTCCACCCACACAAACCGAAAGCCAACACACACACACACACACACACATGTGCATGCACAATGGTTCGATTTCCAATTGAAACTCTTGCTGGCATTGTTGTGGCCATTCTTAAATGTGAAGAAAAGAAAACGAAGAGAAGAGAAAAAGCTGCTTATCAATGCTACTCTGAATAGAATAATGCCAACATCTCTGGCAATTATTTTTAATGGGCCTTTCAAGGTGCAGTGGAATATGCCAGAATTAAATTGCAACTCTTGTTCGAAGGTTTTTTCAAATATTTATGTGAAATGATATGAAATGAAATAGAAATGAAGCCCGAAAATCAATTTCTTTTCTCATGAAATATAAATTGTGAAAAGCACAGAGGCAGCAGTCAACGTTAATTTGAAAATAACTCCGAAGAGTTTCGCAAGTTTGGGAAGCGTAGAGGGCGAGGGAGATGCAATGCATAGTTACAATTAACTTCATTTGTCTTTTAGTTAAGAATAAAGCCTAACAGGAACACTTTAATTATCGTTATTCAAGTATAATTTAATCAAAAATCAGCAATAAGGAATTAAATTTGTTTGAAATATTTTCATTGAATCACATTTACACTCAACGGGCAGTTGTTTTATAGGAAGTTTTAAATTTGTCGAAATCGATTTAAGGCAATTAACAAACAATGAGCGAATCTCTGAACTTTATTTGTATTTAATTTTCACTCCCACTAGGGTAGCGGAAATAACTTTCTAATATTGTTAACATTTTAAACAATTAGCATCAAAAACTTCTTCAAATTAAATTGGCGACAGAAACAAGAACAGTCCGAATAATAACTATATTTAGTAAGATCTGTGTCGTATACTATGTTTATCAAATGAAGTACTCTTTTCTACTCTATGTCGACACATGCTGGAAAGGTTTGCTGTACGGTTATTTATGCATATAAAATTATTGCAACTTTTTTGACATTTTAAAAGTGTTAGGGTTTCAAAAGTAATCCTCAAAAGGGTTAATTAATATTCGGTGAATTTGAAAACTAAAGAAGTAGGCATAGAAGTCGATCAGAGTTTTCCAAATTGTTAAACATTTCCAAACTATATTTATACACAAATGATCAATCAGTTTCAGAAATTAATTTTAGTAAAAATCTTTTAAGAACTGATGTACACACAACCTTAGGAATGGCTAATGGCGAAGATCTAGAGATTTGTTTTTAATCAGCAATCATGACATCATTTAATATTTAAATTATAGATTTATTTCAGCGATGACTTACAGCATTAAGCTGCTGTTACATAACTTATAGCCCATATATATTTGATTAACATCCGTGCTCCTACCAATTATCCCTAATTGTTTGCAGGCAATGAAACATTTTGTCGACTTCAATTCAATACTCTCTGTCAGAGGAGGCTGTGCTTTAAATTAACGTTCTTTCAATTACTCTTCTGCAAATTGCGAATGTGTGCTCTGTTAAGTATGCTACATAATTTGCGCATCTACGGTTTATTTTATTGTTGCTCTGCCAACAACAACATCAGCTATTTTTGTCAGCTAATTAAGGCCACATGTGCCGAACATTGTGCTGCTTGTTGTTGTTGCTATTAGCATTGTTGCCGTGGCTGCGACACGTGCCTCTTGTTAGTCGCGCAAAATGGCATACTACTACTACTACTTTTGCAGCAATTTTTAATTGGCACACACACACATTCCTGCCCAGCCTGTTTGTCTGCCTAACAGCCGTAAGCCTAAATTAATTGATGAGTGTGCAAAATTACAAAAGCACGCTCACTCACGCATTATATCAATTACAAAGGCAACGACGCTCTCACTCCCAACTCCCATCACGCGCTCTCGCGCCCAGACATGTAGTCAATTAATATTTACTTGCTATACTGCTGGCAGAAGCAGCCGAGGCAGCTGCTGAGAGAGGCTGCGAGTCGCCTTTCAATTTGCCTGCCATTTTATAAGCGCATCAGCGGCAACAATCTGTCAGCATAAAGCTGCGATGTGGCGTTGTGTTAGGCCTTTCACTTCCCTGACGTCAAATTCAATCAAACTAAACGAGCGTCACTCTGCAGTTAAAGTGCAGCAGCACTGATGCGTCCAATGACAAAGATATATCAATGTTATTAATAGCTGCTGCTGCTGGCGGGCAACAAGAGAGTGGCGGCACAAAGCTATTTGATTACAATGCATGCACTTGCTTCTCCTTATGCCTCCTGTTACTCAACTGCCCCGACTCCTTTTTGCACTTCAACGTTGTCGTTACTTTTGCATTTATGATACCGTTGAAGTGAAAATGTGTGGCAGAGTGAGGCAGCACCGTGCTTTTGATATGCTTATCAAAATTGCAATAGTAGCCCACCAAGTGCAGGAGCATCGGTTGCATTAAGTATACGCCATGATGTCAGCCTGTTAAGTTTTGAAAGCGATATTCATAAAGAGTAGAGCATAAATGTTTCTCTCTTTTTTCGTTTCTTGAACTTTTAAAGAATATATCATATGCAATGCATAATTGCTAACAATTGAAAATAAATTGCTCAAAATAAAAAAAATCAACAATCATTTAACTTATTGTCAAACTAAGTTACTTTCTAGTCAAGCTTTTAAAGTCAACGTCATGTCAGTTATGCTTCAGATTTTAAAAGTATGCTCTGTAAAGTATGATTTATAATTTGCATATCTGCTTGAAATTTCTCTTAAGTTCAATGCATCTTCTTGTCAAATAAAAGCTTATTTCCTACGCTTTTGAAGTAGCAACATAGAACAGCAAAACTTAGCTGCCACATTTTTAGAATCAGAAAAGCCAAATTAATAATTTCAAATACATTCATATTAACATTCCCATAGCAGCTACCTATTGCTGTTAATTATGTGGCTTCTTTTTTCAAATATATTCTTATTCATATTAACATTCCCATACCTAGCTATTGCTGTTAATTATGTGGCTTCCTTTTGCATGGGTTTCATTCATTAGCATCGCTCTCTCTCTCGCTTTCACTCTCTCATTTGTTGGTGGCACATTTCATTAAAATGAAACTCCACGCACTTTGGCAAAGGCAATTAATTTGCGCTCGCACATAATGAGAAGCCAAATGAGCTGAAAGTTGAGAGCAGACAAAAGCCAAAATTATGCAAAGCATCGGATCTCAGATGCCAAAGATGTGTAGATAGTTGTAAAGGCACAAAGAGAGGGAGTGGTGGAGAGTGGAGACAGAGAGAGAGAGAGAAAGTGGGAGGCAGACAGGCACAGACACCGCCTGATTGCCAAACGGATGCGCAAATGATGCGACCGTCCGTCTGTTGTCCCTCTCTTCTTGCACATGTGACTCACTGCAGATGTCGAAGACTGTGTGTGTGTGTGTGCGAGTGGGAGGGTGAACGTAACATTTTGTTTAGCATCACGTGCCGTCGCCTGATGTTTGCTGTCTGCTGTCTGCAGTCTGCAGTCCCCCGTCTGTTATCTGTTGAGGGTGTCTCGTTTCTGTAACCGTTGCCGTTGTTGGTGGCATTGCCACCACTGTCATTGCGTTTCTGGTGGCAACGGCTATGTTGCATATTAACAGCCACCTCGCCGTGCTGCGGTTGCACTTTTCGCGCAAATTACTGTCAACGTCAGCGCCAACAACAATGCTCTGCGCGCCACACTTGACAGCTGACGCTCAAGTGGCATTTAGTTCCGCTGTGGGTGTCTTTTTCTGCTGTTGTTGTTGTTGTTGCGATTTTTAATGTAAAATGCATGCGAGAAATGTAATATGGGAAATGAGGTGAAAAGTAGGTACGAGATACACACACACACACATTTAAAGCGCTAATAAGCTGCCGGATCTGCCGAATTTAATGTTCCGTTTCCATATTCCAAACAAGCAAACAAACCATCGATTGTTAACAGATGTTAGTTTAACAGAATTGACTGCCCACAACAAATTACAGAACATTAACAGTGCATTTTTGGTTTCTTTTCAGGTCCCGAGGGCTGCAATCTGTTCATCTATCATTTGCCACAGGAGTTTACCGATACAGATCTGGCCTCGACATTCTTGCCATTTGGCAATGTCATATCGGCCAAGGTGTTTATCGATAAACAGACTAGCTTGTCCAAGTGTTTCGGGTTCGTTTCGTTCGATAATCCGGATTCGGCGCAGGTAGCCATTAAGGCTATGAACGGTTTCCAGGTTGGCACAAAACGCTTGAAGGTGCAGCTGAAGAAGCCCAAGGACGCCTCCAAGCCGTATTAAGCAGAGAAGAGCGGGAGTAGCTGCCACATCCTACGACATCAAAAGAAAGAACAACAACAAGAAAAAACCAAGATCTGTTTTTAATATATTAAAGCATATATAGGAACGTCCCATGTCGTAATACCATTTGAGCGGCAGCGGCGAAGGAAGCATACTTTTAAGGACGTGTCTAAGTTATGAAGCGAAACACCAATTGTCAAATGGAGTAAATGAAGTTGCCTACAAGTAATAAGTCAAGCTCGGTTTTGGCCACAAAAGCCTACGTTGTACGTATGAAAAACACTAAAAAAAAGAAACTATTTAAAAATAATGAAAGACATGAAATAGTGCCAAACAAAAAAGACAGCAATCATTATTTTAAGCACGTTTATATGTTGAAGTTTATGGAAATTACAAAAACAAGAATCTTTAGTTTGTAGTCTAGTGTTTAAATTTAAATTTGTCAAAATACGCGCTCCCACACACACACACACTCACACAAATGTTGCTCCCATGCTTTTGAAGTTACACTTTCCAATGCTTTTTATTTTACGACACAAACACACATTTGTATTTTAAAATTGTCGTAATTTAGGTTCTCTCTTTTATACATAATACTACCTACTACTATCTATAAACAAACTTTTGTACACTTTTCTTATGACAACAACAATAACAGCAAACAAACAGACAAACAAACAAAAATCTGTTTACAGTGTTTAGTTAATTAAGTTAAGTTTGATACCAAAACCAAACCAATGAACACATTTTCTTTGTAGTAGTCATCATTATGTGCGCTTCCTGCGAGTCACAAGTCGAGTCAACTGAATGAAGTCTTCTTTCTACCAATTAGTTTAAACAAATACAAGTTATTCGTTTTCGTTCGTATTACACACACACACACACACACACACACATACATGCATAGACCTAAGGAACACACTGATTTGTTGTTAAATATCATCTAATTTTATTTTACATAATTTTTTGTACTGAAAATATGAAAAAAATCACATGTTTCTGTTTATATAATGCTAGCTCATTATTACTATTATTATTATATTTTACATTAGTTTTAAATGCAAAAATGCGCTGTTTTGTGTGAAAATTTGTAAAAAATTGTTTACAAAATCAAAAACGTAACGAAACGATAAACAAAACACAACCACCAATGAAATCAAAAACGTATATTATTTTTATTTTTTACTTTTTATTTTCTTAATGCTTTTGAAGAGTTTGTTTAATGAAGTGCGACTCGCTTTTTCTTTTGTAATATTTGGAATTGAAAATTATGATTCCTATCGTAAGTTTGCAGGCAATAATATTAACAAATATTTTCTGTACATTTTTGCACATTTTTTTCAAAACTCTGTTTTACATCTATGCGTTAAAAATTTGTGTAGTTGCAGTTCTTTTTTTTTGTAAAACTTTTCATTATTTCCTTTTTTCCTTTCAAAATGCCAGTTTCTTCGAAATTCATTTTGTTTCTCTTTTTTCGCTCTAAATATCAACAACAACAACAACAGAGACATTGTAAACCTTTAAACTTATTGCTATCCGTATACTTTTTTAGCATATTATGTACTTTTGTTTATGTAAAATACACCCATACACACAAACACACACATATGTACACTCGAACACACACACACACACACATATGTAGAGACTATCACATGCATATATAAATAAAGTTTTGTTCTCTGTTTCAAATGCACATTTCAAATGCGTGTTCTGCAATTTTTGTGTTAGCTTTTTTGATGGCCATAACTTTGTTTTTTATGTGTGTAGTGCTGCTGTTGCTGCTGCTGCTGCCACAAAAGTTAATAAGTTATGCTTTACACTTCTCCTCCCACCCCACCCCACTTCCCTCTCTCCATACAGATTCCATGTGGACGTCTCTCGAGCAAGTTCGAAGAAGCGGGAACAAAAGTTTTCCCAAAAATAAAACCGAAAATGCAAAGTCAAGTGATGCAGCAAGCAAGCAAGTCAAAAGGTTAGTACATAGTTGCAATAAAATGCCAGCTGGCTAACTCTCTCTCCCTCTCTCTCTCTCTCCGTCTCTCTACTCTTTCTTTACAGTTTTATGGCAACGTTCTCATTATCTAGCATACCGGTCTCTCAATTGTAAATATATTTTACGCTTCGGTCCTCGAAAATGCCGCCCAACGATTGCTGTCAGCAGTGCATGCAAATTTTCGAGCGAGCCTCCTTTGGCCAACTGTAAATTTTCAGCTGTCAAGAATATTTGTATAAAAAAAATGAAACCAACAAATTGTAAAATTGACTTTCAAAGAAATTGGCTCGAGAAATATAAAAATTATGGTAAAAATTTAGATTTGCTTAAAAAAATGTATATTTTTATTACTGTTTATAGTCGTTGGCTATTTATTGTTATTTGTATTATTTCTGATTATTCTCTTTGCATTTCATTATATTTCCTAAGGCTTGTAAACGTTAGAATGAGATCTTAAGCAGCGCAGTCGACTTAACAGAAGCAGCACATTTCCTGATTATGTTAATTTGCAGCGTGCTCTCTGCAATTATGTTTGACTTAACATTAATGTTAAAATAGAACTGCTTGCAGTGTTAACTTCAAATCAAATACTCTCTTCATTTCTACGAAAAATTCTGAGCCCCCAAAACTCGAAGGAAACAACATATTTTCAAAAATAGGTATATTTTCTTTTGGAATAATATATGAAAAGCGACAAAAAGTATAACAATTCGAATTCCGTTCCAGAGAGAGAGAAAGAAATTAAGAAACTTATTTCTTATTCCTCTTCATAAAAAGATAGGGATTTTCCCGGCATTTCAAATGTAAAATCTTAACAGGTATCTTTTAATTTACACCAAAATTGTAAAAGAATCAGCTCAAGGTTTCCAAGAAATTCTAAAAGTATTAATTGATTGCTGGGAATCAAACGTAAAGTCTTAGCAGCAAATCGGTAGGATGTTTCAAATTGAATTTTACATTTGTTTTCAAATATATACCAGCACAGCAAACTGTTTGCTTGTGGCCGTACAGGCAAATAATTTGCACACAAAACTACCGAATTGAAATCAATTTAAGAACAATGTTTTCGGTACAAGAAACTCTTTTGGAAAATACCTAAAGCCTACTTATAAATTAAGACAAATTTGTGTGCAAATTATTTGCGTGTCTGCACGTATCTGCAGAGCTTTAGGTCGTAAAAAAAATAGTCAACCATTTAAAGTATATTTGTTTGCTTTGTTTTTACACGCTTTTTAAAAAGAGATTGTAGGAGTTTGGAACTTTTGTTTCGCTTTTTTTCCAACGCTTACATGCCTTAGTAATTATTTCATTAATTGTTTTATGTGTTGTAGCTTAAAAGTAAAAGTGCATTGACAAATCAGACATCATTTGCTGCCATTAGCGATGTTCTGTTCTTTTAAATAAGTTATAGAATGCCTATGTTTATATGTTCGTAGACCTAAGCCATAGATATAATTAATTGTGTGAGTGTGCATTTTGTATAACTGTCTGGATGGATGTGGCTTTAAAATTCAAATCGATATTATTCATGTGTAAAAAGCAAAATATGGATAAGTAGTTAAGGCTTGTGTTCCCCCGATTTGTGTAATGTAATTATGTATTAACTTAAAGGCAAACAAATTACAGTAAACTTGTAAATGATAATTGTAATTTTCTAGAGAAACAAAGCAAGGCTGTGTGTTCTGATTAAAAAAAAAACTTAAAGCTAAGTAAACGAAAATGTAAAGTAAAATGCAAATAATTAGAGAGAAAACTTGAAAAACTAGAAAACTTTGGTAAGACGAAATTATGCATAACAACAAAATTTGCTGATACACTTAAGGCATATTATATATATAAATACTATATAGTGATAAATGCGGCTACATTTAAGTGAATAAATTATAGATATCTATATATAGATTATATATATTGTACATTGATATACAAAAACACAAACAACCACAGAAGAAGCAACATTCACAAAACAGAACCGAACAGAACAGAACAGAAAAGTAAATCAATAAAAGGTGTCATGATTTTTATAAAAAAAAAAAACAAAAACAAGCAGAAGAAAAAATATGAAACGCGTTTCGGGTGGGTGTGTGGGCGTGTTTTCAGATAAACTTACATTGCTGCCAAGGCTGCGTCGCACAATTTATCAAAATACATACTTTTGCGCCAGAACTTTTGCTAAACTTTTGCAAAATGTTGACGAACAAACCAATCCCCCCAAAATTTAACCCCCCATCCCCAGCCAGCAATTCAGAGGAGCGTGCGCATTTATCAGAAGACGGAGACGGCGGAGCGCTACGCAACTAAAGAAAACTTCAACAATAAACGAAATATTTTGCTAAACTTGCGATTTGCATATGAAAAAGTTTATGCCAGTTGTAGACGTGTGTGTGTCTGTAAGTCTCTCTCTCTGCGTGTGTGTGTGTGTGTGTGTGTGTGAGGGTGTCTTCGAAAACTAAAATGTTGGCGTTGGCGTAAACAAATTTACAAACTACGTGACTCAACAACAGCACCAACAACAACAACAACACCAACGATAAAGGCAACCTAGTCCATCAACATCTCCACCTTCTCAGATAATCCAAATCTGCGTCTTAACGCAAGATTTATTTCCATTTAAAGCATGCGTCAAAAAGTTTTACGCGCCACGCCGCTGTTGCAAGAAAAAACTTGCAAAAACATACTGCTACATACATACATACATATGTATATGCCGTATATTTATGTATGCGTGGAATATGTACAGTATTTATGCATACAAAGTCGACTTTTGATTGTAGAAAAGTTTTTGTACATTTGGCAAACAAATCTGCAAGAGGTCGACTGCAGAGGCAAGCTGTAATTGTGGCTGGCAGTCCTGCGGCGGACTTAATACCAAATGGCTCGTATTGCCATCAGAATGGTTGGCTAACAGGGGGGAGTAAAGTTCAAAAGCAGAATTTGGAACATAAATGGAAGGCTAGGGGAATATCTTATCTACCAATGCATATATCTACTTACTGTAGTTATCAAACCATCGATGATAATATTGATTGTAAAAATGGTTGCATTTTTCGTTAACTAACGATAGTTTTCATCACAATCGATATATCTTCAAACATTGTATATCTAAAAGAAAGGTTTATTATGAATAAATTTAATTAAAGTTAATTCAAAAGTAAAGCGAATAAAATAGAATGGAATAGAAGGAAGAAAACAGAACAAGAATGGAAGTAAGTGGTGTAGGTTTGAATAGAATATAATAGAACAGAAGAAAATAGATAAGAACCCAATCTGCTTTTTATCAAATGTCTCGTAATGCCTTCAATTTGGGGCTAACAGAGGATAAGAGTACAGTACGACGATTAAAATTTAAAGCATAATGAAGAATGCTGACAGCAGAAGCCAACAGCTGTTAACGATTGCTGTTAATTAACATAGCGCTGCTGGCATTAACATGCCCCTCTCACCATGTTAGTTAATTAGTTCTAAGTACGAAGTGAATTACAGCAGACGTACTGCAAGAAAACGAAAGAGTGGCTTGCGGTATTTCTTGGCCGTCATTTTAAAAGCTCAGCTAACACATCCATTTGCCTATTATAGCTCCCCAACTATAAATGGTTGTTTATTTCTTTAATAATAGATGCGATTACAACCGATTATGGGTAAGTTTTAAAAGTCGAATACAATACAGAGTACAAATTAATTAAATCCAATTCAAGTTCCACAAATACAAATAGAAAAGAATTGATGTATTAGAATCCAGCTTTTTCTTTCTCAGCTTTGCTATTTCCAGTAACTTCAAAGCAAGTTGAAAATGAAATGGAATGGAACATAATGTTAGGAAGTAAGGATAGGGCAGCTTTTCTTTACCTTTTCAGTAACTTCAAAGCAAGTTGAAAATGAAATGAAATGGAACATAATGTTAGGAAGTAAGGATAGGACAGCTTTTCTTTACCTTTTCAGTAACTTTAAAGAAAGTTGAAAATGAAATGAACAACTGAGAGCAAACAATTTATGAAAATATAGTCACGAGGCAGAAAGTATCTCTGAACCGACGTCACATACATCTCTGTAATACATTGTAGGAACTGTTAGGGCGAAGATTTAAAATCAATATGCAACAGATTTCCTTGCAAACATTTGCTGTCATAAAACGCACAACGATTTAAAATAAGAAAAAAACAAGAACCATAATAAATGCACAAAACTGGGTTAGCTGGGTTAGCGATTTCATGCAACCCATCCACATACATAGATACATACACATACGAGTATCGCACGCACAGGAGCTAAATCCTGGGCGTCCTTATCGCCAGCGATGCATTTCGATTTGAGCTGAAGGCACGCGCACTTTATTGCCAAGACGCTCAGTGGCAGCGTCAGTTTCAGCTTCAGTTTTAGTTTCAGTTTCAACTCAGCCCGAGCCCGAGCTCCAGCCCAGTGGGGAAATGGAGGGAAGCGACGCGGTGGGCGTGAAACATGCGCTTGGCATATCTGTCAAGTGAACTGGAAGTGATGTGGCACAGGAGCAGGACCAGGAGCAGAAACCGGAGGAGGAGTGGGTGGCAACTGGAGATGCGTTCACGTGCAAAATTGCAGCTATTCCCAATGGTTTGCTCGGCGACTTTCTTTCTTTTACATTTTTTTGTCCCCGCTCACCACAAAATCGAATTCACTTTGCAGCGAGACGTGCGTGTAAATGAGTTTATGGTTGTGGGGGCGGTATGCGGAGCAGAGTTGCGTAATTTGAGCGGCATTTTGAGGGTGATCGATGGTTGCACGGCTTGTTGATTGGCCCGAATGCCTCAACGCCCAACATCCCATGGCGCTGTCACTTCTCCTAGTTGCGAATTTTAATCAGCTGCCAGTTTTGCCAGCGAATCGAATCGCCACACACCAAGGGTATTCCAGCAGGCACTAATTAAAAAATATATAAGAAGGTGTGCGAATACTGGATATATCACTCATCTCTTAGCTAGAATCAAGAGAGTTTAATGTGTTCAGACAGGCAAATTAGTTGCGTAATTCGTGAGCATTCAAGCTACTATTAGAGAGACTTTGAAATAAAGTTTATATTAACTTTAATATTATTTTTCTTTTATAGTTTTGTGATTAATATTCTCCTATTTGGTGTTTGCATAAATAAAGTCTTAAGTCACGGTCAGACAGGGAAATTATTTGCAGGCAAATTATTTGCATAATTCGTGAGCATTCAAGCAACTTTTAGAGAGAGTTTATATTATCTTGATTATTGTATTTCTTTTATAGTTTTTTTGTAGTTTTTGTAGTTTTTTGATGCTTGCATAAATAAAGTCCTAAATCACTGTCAGACAGGCAAATTATTTGCACATAAATGCGT